TTCATAGGTTCAGCTTGGCAGGTCCAGGGGCGCAGGTATGAGATGGGGAGGGGGTTCATAGGTTCGGCTTGGCAGGGCCAGGGGCGCAGGTATGAGATGGGGAGGGGGTTCATAGGTTCAGCTTGGCAGGTCCAGGGGCGCAGGTATGAGATGGGGAGGGGGTTCATGGGTTCGACTTGGCAGGGCCAGGGTTGCAGGTATGTGATGGGGGGCGGTGGCTCCTCCCACAGGATATATCCTTCTCCCAACCCTCACCAAATTTAAACTTAATTCATTCAAATTATGGCGCCCCTGGGGATATGATTTTCGCCCCAGCTAATTTTCATCCTTTTTAATAAATATAGTCAAACTATTATACAAAATTAAAGAAAATTAAATATACAGTCGTTCCTCGCCACTTCCCGCTTTGACTTTCACGTCTTAGCTCCGTCACGTTTATAAAAATACTGTTTATTCATTTAAAAGTGGATCCAGCCAGTGAAAATGATAAAGCGCGCGCTCGGTCGTCTGGTTCAATTGTACCTGTTGGTTGCCGGATGTGAGAAGCGGCGGTGATGAAACGAGTGGCCTGGGTTTTATGAAAAATTTTGATCATGAATGTGTGGAGCTCACATCTAGCCCTGAATTACAATGAAAATTACTGTACGTAATAACAAGTTGCACTATTTCCGTTGGTTAGTGGTTGTGTGTAAGAACTGTGTGTTTAATTGTTGTGTTCACGGCACATCTTGTGGTTGTGTGTAAGAACTATGTATGTAATTGTTGTGTTCACCTCACATCTTGTGGTTGTGTGTAAGAACTGTGTGTGTAATTGTTGAGTTCACCTCACATCTTGTGGTTGTGTGTAAGAACTATGTATGTAATTGTTGTGTTCACCTCACATCTTGTGGTTGTGTGTAAGAACTGTGTGTGTAATTGTTGTGTTCACCTCACATCTTGTGGTTGTGTGTAAGAACTATATGTTTAATTGTTGTGTTCACGGCACATCTTGTGGTTGTGTGTAAGAACTATATATGTAATTGTTGTGTTCACCTCACATCTTGTGGTTGTGTGTAAGAACTATGTATGTAATTGTTGTGTTCACGGCACATCTTGTGTGGCATTGTGGCTTTGCGGGTGTACAGATTGAGCCGGACTGGCCGTTGGTCACCGATACACGATAGATCAGTCTATGCTTGGATCCATTATGGATCAGTCTATGCATGGATCCACAATGGATCAGTCTATGCATGGATCCACGATGGATCAGTCTATGCATGGATCCACAATGGGTCAGTCTATGCATGGATCCACGATGGATCAGTCTATGCTTGGATCCATGATGGATCAGTGTATGCATGGATCCACAATGGATCAGTCTATGCTTGGATCCACAATTGATCAGTCTATGCTTGGATCCACGATGGATCAGTCTATGCATGAATCCACGATGGTTCAGTCTATGCATGGATCTATGATGGTTCAGTCTATCCATGGATCCACAATGGATAAGTCTATGCATGGATTCACAATGGCTCAGTCTATGCATGGATCCACGATGGATCAGTCTTTGCATGAAAATAGCAATAAACAGTCATGCTTGTAAGGCAGGTGTTACTCTTGCAACGATATGGCAGTAATTAATCGCACAATAATAATATGATATTTGTAACGTCTAATATGTCTTATTTTGTCTTATTTTGTCCAATGTATTGGGTGATACGAGTATGATGGTGGCGAAAGGATCTTATTTCACGTCTAGAGGTTCGAATAATGTTGAAAAAACGTGTTTAGGTCGTCATGACCTTTTAGTTTCATTGGCTCTAACTTCGAAAATATTCGATTACAAATCAAGAATTCTACATCGCGGAAATTCATCAATCGCAGCAGAGTCTGGAACTCATGGGAGGCGACAAACTAGTGTCGACTTTATGTCATTTGAAGAAAATCATACATATATATATAACTAGCGTCGAGCTTAATGGTAGTGAAAAGGATGCCAAAATTTTAATTTGTACTTGTATAAAACTCCTGCAAGGACTAAAAGCTATGAAATGACAAAACTCCTGCCAGGTTTAGAAACTATGACATGACAAAACTTCTGCTCGGACTAGAAACAATGATATGACAAAATTCGTGCAAAGACTAGAAACTATGACATGACAAAACTTCTGCCCGGACTAGAAACTATGACATGACAAAAATCCTGCCAGGACTAGAAACTATGAAATGACAAAACTTCTGCCCGGACTAGAAACTATGACATGACAAAAATCCTGCCAGGTTTAGAAACTATGACTGACAAACTTCTGCCCGGACTAGAAACTATGACATGACAAAACTTCTGCCAGGACTAGAAACTATGACATGACAAAACTTCTGCAAGGACTAGAAACTATGAAATGACCAATCATCTGCCAGCATTAGAAACTATGACATGACAAAACTTCTGCCAGGACTAGAAACAATGACATGACAAATCATCTGCCAGGGCTAAAAACTGTGACATGACAGAACTCGTGCCAAGACTAGAAAATTTGACATGACAAAACTCTCGCAAAGACTAGAAACTATGACATGACAAAACTTCTGCCAGGACTAGAAACTATGAATGACAAAACTCCTGCCAAGACTAGAAACTGTGACATGACAAAACTTCTGCCAGGACTAGAAACTATGACATGACAAAACTTCTGCCAGGACTAGAAACTATGACATGACAAAACTTCTGCCAGAATTAGAAACAATGACATGACAAAACTTTTGCCAGCACTAGAAACTATGACATGACAAATCATCTGCCAGCACTAGAAACTATGGCATGACAGAACTCGTGCCAAGACTAGAAAATTTGACATGACAAAACTCTCGCAAAGACTAGAAACTATGACATGACAAAACGTCTGCCAGGACTAGAAACTATGACATGACAAAACTCCTGCCAAGACTGGAAACTATGACATGACAAAACTTCTCCAGGGCTAGAAACTATGACATGACAAAACTTCTGCTCGGACTAGAAACAATGACATGACAAATCATCTGCCAGGACTAGAAACTATGACATGACAAATCATCTGCCAGCTCTAGAAACTGTGATATGACAAAACTCCCGCCAAATCTAGAAACAATGACATGACAAATCATCTGCCTGCACTAGAAACTATGACATGAAAAATCATCGGCCAGTACTAGAAACTATGACATGACAAAACTCTTGCCAGGACTAGAAACTATGACAAGACAAAACTAATTCCAAGACTAAAAACTATGAAATGACAAGACTCGTGCCAAGACTAGAAACTATATGACAAAACTCCTGGCAGGACTGGAAACTATAACATGACAAAAATTCTGCCAGGACTAGAAACTATGACATGATAAAACACCTGCCAGAACTAGAAACTATGACATGACATGACTCGTGCCAAGACTGGAAAACATGACATGAAAAAACTCGTGCCAAGACTGGAAAATATGACATGAAAAAACTCGAGCCAAGACTAGAAACTATGTCATGACGAGACCGAGTTAACTAGTCCGGAAGTTTCAGTTTACACCGTTTTCGTTCTCTTCTCAACA